TTATGCATGTATGTATATATGTACGAATATATGTATATATATATATATGTACAATGGCAGGAGGTGTAGTTATAATTTCGACGCATAAAAGCAGTTCAGATGAAAGTTTGTGTTCAAGCGGGATCGTGACACATTGTTCGTGCAATCACAGTCATAAATCTTTTGTATATTTGCTTCTGTATATACATACCCATCTGGTTATTCCCATTCAAATTCAACCACAGATGACGATGGACGTACCGTTGAGGGACCCGGACCTTTATGCCAAGCAGCCATCCGCAAAGGAATCACCGAGGGCAGGGGTGGCAAAGGCTCAGTGTATGTATTCGCTGGCGGTAACGGCAAACGGAACGACAACTGCAACTGCGACGGCTATACAAACAGTATATACACGCTGAGTATCGGCGCGATCGACTTCCAGAACAAATGGCCCTGGTATGTACATGTGCATTCAAATCTGGTATCAGCGTTTTTGCTTGCAAGTTTTCTGTCGTATTCATCACACCATATGTGGGCATGGCGTATCAATAGCATAGTATATCAATAGTATTTATTTTTTTGTTAATAGTGTTGTGTTAAAAATGGTGTGTGAGTGGTCGGTCACATAGTAGGCAGGAAATGGCAATCCGCGGAAGATATTCATTCGGTTCGATGTGAATCGGCTTCTAACGCCCTTCGCTTCACCGCCCCGTAGGAGAACACCGCACGCTATTCACGTAGGAATGTCAGAGGGGATATTTGATATATTGCTCTGTCTATATTCGTGCCAGGCTTATTCTAAACGTTTTCTACCATACCCATGGTTGTATCTCGACGATGCGATGGTATACCTAAAGAAGTTGGTGTAGAAGTCATTCCTAGGCAGTCCAGACGTACATGAGACGAAGCTGCGCGTGCATATGCTCTCGCTCATTCAGAACATTGCCATATCTCTCACCACCATAGTGTATGCGATCTAGTCATCGATTGAACCGAATGAGCCAGCCACTACGAGCGAGTACGTGTATATATGTGGTTGTGTATCGTTCAATCCGCCTTTGGCGTTTCCGCCGACACTCGTCAGCGCATTGAATCGAATAGATACGCATGCTACGTTTGTGTTCGATTTGGGGCAAATAGGTCAACGAAACACCTCAGCTGTGTATATTGGAACTGAACCACAGCCCACTTCTCGCATGAACTGCTCTGTGCCACATGGCATGAGTGTCGACTTATTTGAGTGCGATTTGATGACATAGATAACTTATCTAAACATGCTTCATTTGTCTGAGTGCGATTTAATGACATAGATAACCTGTCTAAACATGCTTCCATGTGTAGGTACTCTGAGCCCTGCTGTGCAACGATAGCTTCGACGTACTCATCAGGTATGTTTTGTGTTCCAACTGTTTTATGAGCCCTAAACCGCAACCCTAGTGCACCTTATTCTGCGAGGTTACCTTATCTCTTCTCATGCGGAGGTGAGAAGTTGGAATCACCCTGATGTCTGCTGTATGACTTTTTTGCAAGCGATTGATCTTTTACGGCATTACAAGGGGCTTCTGCCAAGTTTGATTTGTAGAATTGGTTATGCCAAGTGCTGATGAGTTGTTTTAAAGCGGGTGCAGAGTATCAGCTACAACACTGCTAAATGATCCAGCATCACCAGTCATGTACGACTCCCAACACCAACCACATGCAAATCCGCTTTCCCATATCACGTATTACGTATGCATCCAGGTATCAACTCGAATAGGTACATCACTGCATGAATCAGCATCGCCAGCCATATACGACTCCCATCACCAACCATATGCCTATCTTCGTTCACATATCACGTGTCACGTATCACGCGTCACGTACATGTCCAGGTATCAACTCGAAGAAGTACATCACAACGGTAGATATGCACAACGGGTGCACGGCTGCGCATTCCGGTACCAGTGCAGCAGCCCCTCTTGCCGCGGGTATCTATGCCTTGTTGCTTGAAGTCGCCCCAGGTATGACGTGAGTCTGTATATATAATTGACTGTCAGCTAAGCTATACACAAGCAGAATATGTGTGCTGTTTGGATGACTTTGAGCTCTGCACAATCGAATATATGTGCTTTGTTAGTTAACGACAGACATGGCTTGTGGGCGTGATGCAATTCGGCGGGTGACATGCAGTTGGTTATGTGCTATACACAATGAGAGTGTGTTTTAATGCAGTTGGTTGTAAGCTATACACCATGAGAGTGTTTTATTGCAGTTGGTTGTATGCTATTGTTTGTCAAATTGCTTGGAGTTGCCCCGGGTATGACATGTGCACCTGAAGTAGTGCGGCCGTTGATGCCAGGTCGCCTATAATTCACACACCGTGTAGTTGCTCTGCCTCAGTGCTTGATGTTGCCTTAGCTATGGCCTGTGTGCGTGTAGAATATGGTTGTTGACTGCCTTGATCATGACTGCTGTATGAGCAGTATCTATGCTATGTTGCTTGAGGTTTCCCTCCGTAAGGTTTGTGTGTTTAGCACTGTGCACCTTGGACTTCTTTGAATATTGACCGCATATCGCCCACAATAGTAGTGCATGCCTTGTTGGTTGATATGACTCCCCAAGTTAAATGATATGCAAGTAGTAACGCGGTTGTTGACCGTTTTTATATTGACGGTAAGTTGCACGCAGAGACATTATGGTTATCTACACTTGGTTACGGGGGGTTGCACTTAGTATCACTCGTCTGTGTAGCTATTTGTGTCATCTGATTGCCTCACTGTAGCCTTCGCTTGACTGGTGTGCCGTGTGTAGTATAAACAATTGGAAGTGCATGTCAGTGGCGTACATAGTAACGGTAAGATGCTTGATGTCTTTTGACTGGCAATTTCCCCGTGTTTCTTTCCGTACTTGACCCTGTTTAGTCCGTGCTACCGTTTGCTTGGCTATATAATAGTGCAGATTCATGCTATGGTTAGTCAACTACTCTGGCCCAGTGCTCTGGTTGGTTGCAACTCATCTCACTTATTAGAAACAGACTGACACAATCTGTAGCCAACGCCGTCCCTGATTGCGGTGTATACCTATCACCACAATATCGATGCCTGCCTTTCTTTCAGCCCAAGATTGGGATTAAAGATTGGGATCGTACTAGAATTAGGATTATCCTAGATTAGGACATCCTAAGATCAGGTCCTAAGATTAGAATTTTCCTATGATTAGGATTGTCCAAGATCAAGATCATCCTAAGATTGGGTTTACCTTAAGATTAGGATTAAATATTAGAATGATCCCAAGATTAAGATTATCCTAAGATTAGGATTATCCTAAGATTAAGATTACCCCAAGATTAATATTATCCTAAGATTAAGATTATCTTAAGATTAAGATTATCCAAGATTAGCATTATCCCAAGAGTACCATATTTCTAAGATTAGGATCATCCTATACTACGATATACTGACTGACATCGCTAATCTGATAGTACTGACTCGGTGCTGAGTTCGTTACCACGAGGTCTACACTGCCCTGTACTGATAGATATTGCTTCTGTATCTGTGCTGGCGTCTTCCTATCCCCAAGCAATTGCAGAAGTGGTAAAGTCAAATGGTGAAGCACTGACAGACATCACACCCTGAGTGAACTTTTTTCTCCCTGTGACTTTCTATTTTTTCTAAACAAAATACAGTTATCCACGTCTCGCTGAATTCACAGATCTAATATAACCTCAAACCTAAGTATTTTATCTCCACGTCCTTTCCAATTTGCAGATCTGAATTGGCGCGATGTGCAGCATCTCACCATCGCATCTGTCCGCTATCACGAGGACGTGCAGTATGTTTACGTTTCCTTGTTCAATGTTTAGCTATGCAGTATGTAGTTCATCGCGTATTGGGGCATTTAACTTCCGTAGCTCATTTTCTTTTAACGAAAACGATGCAGTGGATTGGCGTTTCCGTACCGTTGCAATACATAGTTGATTAGGCTCCAATTATGCGATGACACCTTATCTCCGTAGATCATATAT